GGAAGGGCTGAAATACTGCCTACTTGCACAGTGCTCTCATAGTGGAGTGGGGAGAAGCTCAAATGTTGCTTTGTGGCCGGAATTTGGAGACAGGGTGGAGAAGGAGAGCGAAGATACAAGTCAGGAGCTCAAGGCAAGAAATGCAGACTGCAGTAAAGAGGAAAACGCAACGCAGTACTACAAAGAAAAGCAAATTACAACAAAACTGAGTCCATGAATAAAAGCGAAAATAGTAAAGTAGAAAAAATCTGAACCATGGAAAAAAGCAAAAAAGTAACTGCGTGCATCAGGATAGTAAGTGCAATCATGCGTTTTGCGCAGTTTCGACCAGCAGGCACCTGCCTGTTAAGGATTTTCACTGTTTCGCGCCTTAGTCTGTGAGTAAATTGCTGCGTTCCTAAGCTGCAAAATTTCTCATTAAAAATTTCACGTCCCGGTACGCAAAACACGGAAGCGCGTGAAAGCTGAATTTGAAATCTAGGACGATGAGCATTGTTCCAAAATCTCTGCATCCCAGTTCTCTGGCTTCCCACTAAATTTCGCGCCAAAACTTTTACGTCGTCATACCTGAGACCTCGTCATACCTTGGAGCGCAGTTTCAGTTTATTAGGCCCCTGCACAAGTAAAAAAGATCCTCCTGAAGCTTTCAGCTTCCTAGCTCTTTTGGTCCCCGAGATAATTTTTCCCACCAAAACTTTCATGAAGCCATACATGAAATCCGGGCTTACACGAAGGCTGAATTCGAATCTCCGAGGTCGTACGTGGGCAGGGGACATTTTCATAAAATTTCAGTTTCCTAGCATCTGTGATTTTCGAGACAAATTTTCCTCGTCGAAAATTCCATGAAGCCATACGTGGTACCCAGACGGATGGGAAGGCTGAATTTAAACCTACGTGTCGCACATAAGTAAGGGAGGTTCTCCTAAAATTTCAGCCTCCAGCTTTCTGGCTCCTGAAATAGAAGCTTTCCTCGCCAAACTTTTCACAGGATCTTGGTATCCGGGTGCGCGGGAGGGCTTTGTTTAAATTTGCTAAAACGCAGGGGGCATGAGATATTACCTTAACATTTCGGCGTCCCAGCTTTCGTGGTTCTCGAGGCAATAATTCTCTAGCCAAAACTTTTGCAGAGCCGTACGTGGTGACCGACGGTACGTGAGGGTTAAATTTGATCTTCAGGGGTCGTACGTGGATGGGGAATATCCAACTAAAATATCAGCTTCTCAGTTTTTATGCGTTTTTGCCGTGCAGCGCTAGAGCGCTGCAACAGGCAGCAACCTAGGCTGGAACGCACCAGGCGAGCCGGA